CAAAGTTCAACTTTCCTGCATGCGATTCTTCTACAAATAAATACCTGCAACCAAATTTACCAGGTCACTACATTTCGCCTCTGCTTTTCGTGTTCCTGGAGGGCCTCGGATAAGAGCTTACTGGTGTGCAAACATCATGCTTGTTTGAAACCACTCACTGGTGTAGAGACTCGCTGACATCCACCATTCCAATGAAAGGCTGGATGTCCGCAAGTCCTTGAACGATACAAGTGGGGAAGGAACCATACAATCGTATCGTATTGAGGGACATTCTACAGGGTGTTTTTCTGTATGTTTTACAGTTAAAAAAGACAAAACAAAAAAAAACGTATAGGCGACATTTACGCGGTCTGTGCACGTGGGCTATTTGGACAGGGCGGCATAGTATAAAAGGCTAATTCGTAATGATCAGTCGGCTTCTTACAGAGAAGTGCCAGACTTCTTTCAGAAAACTAGATGGAGGTTCCCTCTAACGTAGTTTTATCTCGCGAATCTAAATATCTCATTCGTTTTCGACACAGATATAACTAAACATAAGAAAACACAAAAAAAAACATCCTACCAGTAGTGACATCGTAAGAAGACCTTTCTGTTGCCAAGCGTGTGTCGCTTAAAGGCCGCGCCTCCAATCACAAGCTTTCTAGGTATATTCTCCCGCACTGGCACTAGTCGTGAAATATTCTTCTGCCCTTTTAAAAAATAGCATTTGCGTGCATAGCTTTGATAGGCGCTGAAGATGCGTGCGCAAAAATTTCGAAAGCTGCTTTTGTGACGTCGCTCTCCGGAGAAGTGCCCCCAGCAGTACTTTAAAAATGATTCTATGCAGTCTCGGTTAACCAAATTGAGAAATAATTTTGATATTTGATATCCTGGAGGTCAAAAATAATATTTTAATGTGTTTCCTCAAATGAAAACCCGCTTTAGCCTCCCTTAAATATGTTTCTTAAAATTTTAGTTTGTAAAATAAATCCATGTTTTCAATTAGAAAACTTGCTAAGTATCATCAAAACACACAAAATCAACTTTCTTTGTGAAGATATAATACAAGAACAGCATTTTACGGCGTTCTAAAGAAATAGTCAATTTGGACGCGTTTCCAGACTTCGGTTTCTTAGCAGAGCGCATCTTTGCGCCTGCGATCCTGCTGCCAGGTGGTCGCAGTGTAAAGCCCCCCCCCCCCCCCCCCCCCCCTCGCCTCACTCGTAGGATGGAGGGAAGCAAGGCGCACATGTGTTGCGCGTCTAAGCCTCTTGAGAATAGGACCGTGGGTGCAGACATGCGCTCCGATAAGAAACTGAAACCTAGATACTCGTCCAAATCAAGCGTTTTTACAGAGCGCGTAAAATGCTACCCCTGCATTATATCCCTCTAAAAATAGTTGATTTTTTGGTTTTCAATGACTCAGCAAGTTGCTAACTGAAACCATATGTTCATTTTCACTAATTAAAAGTTAATTAACAAATTGTATTTAATTATTCGACTGATCGTTACGATTAGGTCCCTATACTATGTACGCCTGGCTGTACAACTCACGTGCAAAAACCGCATTAATTTAGCTTTCATGACCTTTCTAAACATATATGTAAAGCTTAAAACTAAATCACCCTCACAACTGTGAAAAGGCGATACCAGCATGATGGAGCCATATGGCTCCACAATGCTGGTTTCACCTTTTCGCTGGTATAGGAAGTCCCATATTACGTTATAATGTATGGGTCCGTCCGCCTATATGGTTCCGACATAATTCACTACGCTGGTATAGGATGTCCCATAATACGACACGCTTGTATGGTTCCGCCAACCTGTATCGTTCCGCCTTAATCCACTATACTGGAGCCGCCTTTTCGCTTGTATAGGATGTCCCATATTACGGTCACGCTTGCATGGGCCTTTTCCATCGTCTTTCCATGATCGAGATTTTCCAACAGGGCAAGGTGTAGTCTGCATTGATTTATTGCATTCATATTCCTGAAACTGGGAGGGGTCCCCTGAATATGAATAAAGGGATAAACATTTCTTGAAATCAAATCATTTGAGACTGGACAAAAGGAAGGATCTGAGAATGGCATCTTAGATTCTCTTTTCTTTGTATTATCTCTAATTTTCACTTTATTTCACCTGGGGCATTTAGTTTTGAGCGCAGCTCTTAGCACTTGTTTCCGGATTTTGCGGCGTCGCTGTCGGCACAACCGCCCCACTAATCTTGGCAGCAAATTGAATTAATGTCGAGGTAATGTGACGGTAATATTTCCGCTAAGTCTAGCTGAGAAATTTAATTTTTTTTATAGATGACGTGACACGGTCATGCAACGTCATTCTCCCCGCTAGTTTTAGCGGGAAAACTGCATTGGGGGGGGGGGGTGTAGAGATCACGTGACATCAATTTCCGCGCTAAATTTAGTGGGAAACTTAACCCGCTAAATTTAGTGGAGAAATTTTCCGCTAAATTAAAGAGAAATTTCCCGCTAGATGGGAGGGAGCAGAAGAGGAGGAGGGGAGGGGTGTGGGGCATACCCTTCCATCCTCCTTTTCAAGATCTGTGCTCTAATTTCACATTACAGAGAATTGTAAACGTCTCATATTTCATCTCATGTTCATTCAACTTTTATATTGCAGGTGCGCTCGCAGCACAAATCTGGGCTGTGCTGATCCTCTACGCACAAGTTAGGAACTCCTGAGTGGCAAGAGTGGGAGTTCGGTCTGACAGCTCAAGGGACACCATTGTTCAGTTTTGAATTTATAATTATCTTCTTTTGAGCAAAGTTAAACTTTGCTGAATGCGATTCTTCTAAAAATAAATACCTGCAACCAAATTTACCAGGTCACTACATTTCTCCTTTGCCTTTAGGGCTCCTGGAGGGCCTCGGATAAGAGCTTACTGGTGTGCAAACATCATGCTTCTTTCAAACCACTCACTTGTGTAGAGACTCGCTGACATCCAGCGTTCCAATGAAAGTCTGGATGTCAGCGAGTCCTTGAACGATACAAGTGGGGAAGGAACCATACAATCGTATTGTATTGGAAGACATTCTACAGGGTGTTTTTAGCATGTTTTACAGATTATTTTAAAGCCATAAAAGCAACATTTGCACGGTCTGTGCGCGTGAGTTATATGGCCAGGGCGGAATAGTATAAGAGGCTAACTCGTAATGATCAGTCGGCTTATTACAGAGAAGTGCCAGACTTCTTTCAGAAAACTAGATGGAGGTTCATTCTAGCGTAGTTTTATCCCGCGAATCTGAATATCCCATTCGTTTTCCACAAAGATGTTACTAAACGTGAGAAAACACAAAAAAACATCCTACCAGTAGTGACATCGTAAGAAGACCTTTCTGCCGCCAAGCGTGTGTCGCTTAAGGGCCGCGCGTCCAATCACAAGCTTTCTAGGTATATTCTCCCGCACTGGCACTAGTCGTGACATATTTTTCTGCCCTTTTAAAAAAATAGCATGTGCGTGCATAGCTTTGCTAGGCGCTGAAGGTGCGTGAGCAAAGATTTCGAAAGCTGCATTTGTGACGTCGCTCTGCAGGGAAGTGCCTCCAGCAGTACTTTAAAAAATGATTCTATGCAGCCTCAATTAACTACATTGAGAAATAATTTTGATATTTGATATCCTGGAGGTCTAAAGGAATGTTTTAATGTGTTTCCACAAATGAAAGACCACTTCACCCTCCTTTTAAGCGTAATATGTTTTTTTAAAATTTTAGTTTCGTGAAAATAGATCCATGATTTTAATTCGAAACTTGCTAAGTATCTTCAAAACACACAAAATCAACTTTCTTTGTGAAGATATAAGACAAGAGCAGCATTTTACCGCGTTCTAAATAAATAGACAATTTGAACGCGTTTCCAGACTTCGGTTTCTTACCAGAGCGCATCCTTGTGCCTGCGAACCTGTTGCCCGGCGGCCGCACTGCGAAGCCACCCCCTCGCCTCCCTCGTAGGATGGAGGGAAGCAAGGCGCACGTGTGTTGCGCGTCTAAGCCCCTGTGGAATAGGACCGTGGGCGCAGAGATGCGCTCCGATATGAAACTGAAACCTAGATACTCGTCCAAATAAAGCATTTTTACAGAGCGCGGAAAATGCTTCCCCTGCATTATATATTTCTAATAATAGTTGATTTTGTGGTTTTCCGTGAGTCAGCAAGTTGCTAATTGAAACCATATGTTCATTTTCGCTAATTAAAAAGTTGATTAGCAAATTGCATTTAATTATCCGACTGATCGTTACGATTAGGTCTTTATACTACGTACGCCTGGCCCTACAACTCGCCTGCACAAACCGCATTAATTTAGCTTTCACGACATTTCTAAACATATATGTAAAGCTTAGAACTAAATCGCCCTGTACAACAGTAAAAAGGCGATACCAGCACGCTGGAGCCATATTGCTCCACCATGCTGCTATCGCCTTTTTGCTGGTATAGGATGTCCCATATTACGTTATGCATGTATGGCTCCGGCCGCCTACTCGGTTCCGCCATAATCCACTATACTGGTATAGGGTGTCCCATAATTCGGTACGCTTGTATGGTTCCGCAACCTGTATCGTTCCGTCTTAATCCACTATTCTGGAGCCGCCTTTTCGCTTGTATATGATGTCCCATATTACGGTTACGCTTGTGCGAGCCTTTTCCACAATCTTTCCATCTTCGAGATTTTCCAACAGGGATTAGATAGTTTATTTGCAATGGTACTTTGTATCATTGTTATCACAATTTCTAAGATCACGTGTCATCTCATCGTTATTGTTTCATCATTCAATGGTATAACAGTGTATATCAAAACGTCAACGCACTTTTTATGTGAAAAACACGGCTGGACTTTTCATGAAATATAACAATACAGGACATTCAGATGCTATTCGTTAAGCCATGTTTTTATTAGCTTCTTCAGAGTAAACTTAACAAAACCGTAAAGAAATTGGCAAAATTAAACGTAAACGAATGCTACTGAACATACTATGTAATATTCACTTGGAGGTCTTGCTTTCTTTCCCCATCATTCCTCCGTTTGGAAAACTGGTGCCAGAGGAGTTGCATCATCGATGTTCGGATCTTCGTTAGGATCTCCTAAATGTCCGAAATATGTGATCGTTATGCAGATGCCATTGGGTTCATCGTCTCGATGTACACATATACAATCTGTGCTGCAAGCGCTCGAGACTCCATTTTTAACCGTACACTGAAAAGGAAAAGAAATTTATTTAGAAGTAAATTATACAACATAGGTGAATGAGGGAATATTGTCTAGAGCTCTTAATAATTTCTAAATATCAATTTTTAACCCCTCCATAAAACTGTTTTCTTCAGTTACAGTTTATAAATTGAAGACAACTCCATATAAATACCGCAGCACGTCAGTGATATTATTAAAAAAACACATTTAGGATAAGGCTGGATACTATACTAATCACATTAAGTTAAGATTTCCTAAAATTAAAGTAAAGTTCACACACTTTATGTCGTCGGTTTAACACAAAGTATTTTCTGAAATAATAAAAAAAAACGCCATATACCAAATCTAGCAGTACTGAAACCGGTCAACACATGTTGTGGTCGCTCTTACATCCAGTGTTAACTATTTTTAGTTATGCTCAGTTTCAGGTACCGTTGATTTAGCTGTCTGCGTTTTACTATTAAGTTAGTTATTGCTTTAATATAAAGACGCCTCATTCTAGAACGTCAGCTAGACAATTAGTATGATAAATGCATATTTAGTTAACAAAACACTTTAACGTAACTGTTTAATTAAGCAGAAGTTTAATTGAAAGACAAATGCCGTACTATTTTCACAAGGTACTATCACGATCAATTTGAGTGCGAACACCGCTCCGTGTGGCCCGCGGTACTACCAGTGCCCCCTGCCGATTGCTCTTTCAAGTATAAGTGCACCTTGGTTTCGAGACAAATCGTCTCTAGCGATCGCCGCACCACTCTGCACTTCTGGGTCATCTGCTAGGAAAAAACCGTCGGCGAAACCGCGAAAACGTTCACCAGTGACGAAGAGCACATTTTGCTAGCAATGTGCGCCAGAAAAATAACTTGTATAAATATCTTTAGGGTCATCTTGTTGATTAGGCACTTTTAGTCGACTATTCTCCTGACTCCGATAGCAACACCCGGTACTTCGCCAACGCCTTTAAACGTGCATGATATTGTTATCGGAGGTTTCAAAACAATCAACTCTGCTTTGTTGAAGCTTGGTCTGCCGGGCAAGTTGGTAATTGACATTCATATTAAATATATAGCAAAAAAGACGCTATAAAAATACGAAGAGGCGCTTGTCCTGTGTGCCGCTTCATCTTTTTGTCCCGTCTTTTTTGCGCTATTTTTAAAATCAACTAAGACTGCCTATTATTTACTTCGCGTGAGCTTTTTTGCGATAGCAGAATTCCACCAATGCGCACAGGCAAGGTAGTTAGCGCGTTGCGAGCGTGGGTGATATCCTTCATCATAGTAATCAGCGCGCAAAAAACGATGCAGATGGCACGTTTCTTCTACGCCATCGTCGTTTTTTTGGCACTGTTTTCCATAATGAAGGATATCACCCACGCTCGCACCGCGCTAGCTTCTTGCCTGTGCGTATTGGTGGACCTTTGTTATTGCAAAACTCACGCGAAGTAAATAATAAACAGTCTTTGTTGATTTTAGAAATAGCGCGAAAAACACGACACAAAAAGACGAAGCACCACACAGGACAAGCGCTTCTTCGTCTGTTTGTTCCGTCTTTTTACTCTATTTTTAATATGAATGTCATTTACCAACTTCCCCAGCAGTCCAAGCTTTTACGAAGCTTAGTTGATTGTTTTGAAACTTCCGATAACAATATCATGGATTCCTAAACGTTTCGGCAAAGTATCATGTCTTGTTATTGGAGTCAGGGGAATAATCCGCGAAAACTTCCTAATCGAATGGATGACCCTAAAGATACTTTAAACGTTATTTTTTGCTGGCGCACATTGCTAGCGAAAAATGCTCTTCGTCATTGGTGAACAGTTTCGCGGTTTCGCCGACCGTTTTTCGCTAGCAGGCGACCCGGAATTGCAGTTTGTTGCGGCGACCGCTAGATACGATATGTCTCGAAACCAAGGTGCACGTATGCTTGAAAGAGCAATCGCCAAGGGGGCACTGATAGTACCGCGGACCACACAGAGCGGTGTTCGCACTCATATTTATCGTGATTGTACATACTTGTTCTACCCTTCAGGCTGATAGTCCGAAAATAAAAACTAGCCACGCGCTGCACTAAACGATGTAATTTCTGAGCATAAAATTTTCCTTGTACCCGTGCTATTTCATTTGTTACATCAATAGTGCTCATTGTCCGCTACTCTAAATAGATTATAATTAAACTTGTTAACAAGATCAGTAAGATAACTGCTGTATTGATTCACACACTACAAAAACCAACCCCTAAAATTCTAGATAGATCTCGCTACAGCGTATTTTATCAATCCAGAACAGAGCGAAAACTAGTATTATTCCAAACCAGAAGAGGAAAAAGGTAGTTGTAAACATACGTTCCGAACAACGTGTTTACACCGCCTTATGTTCCTACAGTGTTTGAATTTGCGAAAATAAAATCACATTGCCCTGGCGGTTTTATTTTTGCATAATGCACCAACTAGCGAACTTTCCTATTTATGAACAGTATCTAATAATGTGTGCGACTTTGCTGTCAATGAGTGTACCTTATACTTTACCATTTATTCAAAGCGGAAGCAGCCCAGTGAAATAGATGATAATAATCTATTAAACTAACAAACATATATACGATGACATAAGAACTTGTATTTTATGCCCTGCTATATACGTATGTTGTATAAACTTCGGAATGTTTATTCAAAGGCCATATCAGAACAAAATGTATTGTTATTACCTATATGTTTTTAAGTGCGACTGTTACAAGCACGAATATAATTTAAAAAGTGCACAATACAATTTTTTGTGTGTCTAACGCAATAATGCAGACACACATTTTCTTATACAGTTTTGTAAATTTTGAATAAGAAAAAGCCGCCGATAGATTTAATACCTATGTCTAGTGACAGTTTAAGAGAAGTAAACTCTTCTTACCCCGAAGTTCTGAACTGAAATCGACATTGAAAGTACATAGCCTTCAATATTTTGTTGGAATTACATTTCATTTATAAAATCGGTTGATGAGCTTGTCTCACAACGATAAACTAAAACATAACAATTTAAGCTGCAAAAGCGTTATTCCTTGTTCGCAAACCTCTGTTCTACAAACAATGAATTTGTACATCGCACGATACACAAGTCTCAGTGACTATCTGACCGCCCTAATTCAATTACCATAATATGCATTTAATGTTACATAATTTTTAAAATATGCAAAGAACAAATTTATTATACGGGAATAACAAAATACTTTACTTATACATTTTTGATTTTCCTTAATCAAAAATCAAACATATATAATAAGAGCTGGTCCTCAACCCGCAGACAGCCTGACAACAACGACATAAAAAATGAATAAGCCGTGGTTTTCCCCTATATACATAATCGCTTATCATTTAATTTCACATCTGAAAATTCTCAAACCAAAAACAAAAATACGAATGGTTAAGATAATTTGGTCATGTTCAGAAATAAATTTAAAAAAAATTGTGCCCTGTTTACAGTTAAAGCTGGAAAGTCACTTTTGATCCTTTTCGGGTATGAACAGGCGTAGTGCGGGACGAGTTCCGAAAAAGCGCTTGTGTCCACTCGACCAGTGCGATGGTGGTGGTCACAGTTTGATGAGCTCGATATTTGGGGACAGGGGTGAAGTTGATTAGGTCATCGCAATATATATTGTATCTATATTGTAAGATGACTTCTAGTTGCTTCAATGTGGTGATCATGATAGTGCAACACTTGTAACCAGCCAGCAACCAGTTCGGCGGGCGGTTGCGCTAGATTCGAAGAGTGCGGGTTAGACGGATGAGATTAGGAGAGCCCTACTTCGTCTTTCTTTTTTTTTTTTTTGTAACATTACCTCCCCGGGCAAAAAAATGGCCGGTTCATCGGCAGATGTTGGGAGGGGTTACGGCGATCCTTTGTGGGACGGCTTGAGTCGCGCTACGTGAACTATGTCGACTGGGGCAGCCTCCTAGTTCGTAGAGGATAGGTCTCGCAGGATCTTTAGGTGGCATATAAATTGCTACCGTAGTTTCTGGCGTTTGCCGTGAAGCCTCCTGTTCTCCAAAGGATCACTTTGCCACCAACTCTGTAGAGAACATCAGTATGAGAGTCCGCACAATGTAAAGCCTTTGGTGTTGCCGGGACTGAAGCGTATAGATTCTGTAATGTTGCCGTGTTCTATCTGCACGGTACAGGACATCATCAGTGTGATCATCGGGTGAAGCTTCGTCAGCGTAAGGCAAAACAGTATCTAAGGTAAAAGGTGGTCCTCGCGTGTATAGGAGGTAGAAGGAGCAGCATCCTGTCGTGGCTTTGCGGCTGGAGATGTAAGCGTATGTTATATATAGAACGATTGCGTCCCAGTTTTTGTGGTCGTCTGCGTTATACATATCAATGACGAAAAATAATCCCAGGAGAAGCGAAACAAGAGGGACAAAAAACAAACACAAATCTCCAAACACAGCTTCGTTATTCTTGTCCAGCTCGCTGGCACCTTTGCATTTAATTGCATTATAATACAAATGAATCTTGTTGGTTAATGTGCAATTTGACATTCGCTGAGGCCATAACGGAATCGGCATGACATATGAGTTCTTGAAAGACTTTGGTAACACTTGGGTCAAGGAAAAGTACCGCGATCGGCGATGATGTACTGAAGGGCACGGTGACGAAGCAAGAGGAAATTAAGAAAAAATTTAGTGACTTCTCGCGTTGTGGCGGCTTCTACAGCCTTTGTCTCAGTGTAGTGCGTGAAATATTCGACGGCTACATTTATTTGGTGGTTATTAGAAGGGAAGCACGGAAAAGGAATGATAAATTCAATTCCAATAACATAAAATGGGTAGGTGGGAAGCGGAATAGTACGTCGGGTTGCTGCAGATTTTGTTGTTGGCTTTTTTTTGTCTTGCATTGGTGATGTGTTTAAAAACAAACCGTGCGATGGCGCGCTGCATGCCGCTCTAAAGGTATTTCATGCAAATTCGGCAGTATCTTTTGTAAAATCCGAGGTGTCCAGCACAGCTGGTTGTCATTGAG